TGCTGCTGGGACGCTGGGTGTGCGGCTTGGGCGTCGGCGTGGTGAGCACCACGGTGCCGCTGTATCAGAGGTATGGGACGGCGGCTCGGGGATGGGACAGGTTGGTGCGTGGGAGCTAACTGGTGATGCAGTGAAATGTCTCCGGCAAAGGAGAGGGGGAAATACGTCACGATGAACCATGCCGGGTTTGTGGCAGGTCTTGCTATGGGCCTTTGGTAAGACTTCTCATGCTGAATGACTTGGTGTATTTGTCTCATCGCCAACATAGGGCTGGATACTTTATCACGTTTTGGACCGGTGACGTTGGCGAGTACTGGGGCTGGAGGATTCTCATCCTCGTCCAGCTTCTTCCCTCTCTCGCCTTCACTGCCAAATTACCGTACATACCAGAGACGTATGGAAATGTCATCATCAACGTATCGGAATGCCGTGACTGACAGGCCACCAGACCTCGATGGCTCCTCCAGAACGGGGACGTGGAAAAGGCCAGCCGAGTCCTCCACTGGCTTCGCGAAGACGTCGACTCGCCCGCCGGCATCGCGGACGAGCTGCGCGCCATCCACGCCGACATCCGACTCTACAACATCGGCCCGGGCGCCTTTGTCAACAAGTCCCTCGCGCTGTTCCGGGAGAGGCCCCTGTTTGCGCGGCTGTGGCGCGCATTCCTCCTGCAGTTCCTGGCGCAGCTGTGCGGCGCCACGGCGATCAAGTACTACCTCCCGACGCTGCTCAAGGCGCTCGGGCTCGGGACGCGGCTCGCGCTCATGGCGGGCGCGGTCGAGATGACGGCCAAGATTGGCATGACGGTCGTGGAAATGTACATTATCGACCGCTTCGGGAGGAAGACGTGTCTGGCGGGGGGCAGCGTCGTCATGGCGGTCGCTATGTTGGTGAGTGGGAGCAAAAGGGCGGTCGGAAGGGGAGGGATAACTGACAAGCAGGCAGATTAATGGCGTGCTGCCGCAGATATTCCCGAACAACGTGAGCCCCGTGGCCGATGCCGTTTGCATTGCGTTCATCTTTATCTACGCCATGGGCTACAGCCTGGGACTCGGACCGGCGGCATGGGTCTACAGTTCAGAGGTGCGTATTAGCCGGCGCTTCCTCTGCATGGCCAAGGCTAACACGTTGTCAGATCTTCCCGACCACGTACCGTGCCCGCGGCTTGAACTTTGCTGCGTCGGGCGGCTCCATCGGCAGCCTCATTGTAGCTCAGATATGGCCGGTTGGCGTCGCCCATTTTGGCAGCGGCGTCTACTTTTTCTTCTTTGCCGTCAATGCCGTCTGCGTCCCGGTCCGTGATCCTTGAGTGCCTGCGAAGACTGGCAATGCTGACATTTTATGGACAGGTGATTTGGCTGCTCTACCCGGAGACGAAGGGGTGCGCTTTGGAAGACATGGACTCGCTGTTTCAAGATCCGGGCAGCGAGAGCGCTGGCTTGGGCCTGCGTGGTGCTGCTGGCGCGGTTGATGGAGAGCCTGTGGCGGAGAGTGAGGCTGGAGAGACTCAGCCACTTCTCTCACAATAAATATACGCAGTAATAACGTATGTTTGTTTTTATATGGAAACTTTACTACGCTGAAGTGCGCCCTGTCAGTCCAACTCACGACTCGTACCCTCCTACCCTACATCTTGAACAAGCGATTCGGACGCGCAGGCCTGAGTCACTAACACGGCGTTGATCTTGATGCTTGTGATGATCGACAATTTACCGGTATTGACCATACGAAGCAATAAGAGTCTTTCACGTCGGTTTCGCAACTGCTGATGCTTGTGACGGACAAGCCAAAACATCAGTCCGAGGAGATGCGAATATGCGCCCTACAGTGGAGGGACAGTCATTGTTCACGACGCTCATCAGGGGCATCGTTGAATTGTGCATTATTATTAAAGCTTCAAATAGCGCCAACACATACGAATCCTTTCTTGGCGCGTGCGCGTGGAAACGACGATTCCGAACTCCTGTATCAATCGTGCCCACAGTGCATTTCCTATATAGGAAGGTGTGAAAGTGGATGACCAGGATGGCTATTTCCGCCTTGCATTAATTGCGTGTTTCAACCAATGGCCTGATCTTTCTCCGCGGGCCGCCGGGAGAGGCGTTCGTCACTGTCACGACAAGGTTAAGCTTGCTTCCCGTTCTTGACATGCAGCCCTGCGTGGCGGGACACTGGACAAGTTCGAAACCGGCCACCGGAAATACTGTGCCAGGTCAACAGCGGTCTAAACCCAGCGATGCGTCGTGCGGATACTAGTTTTAAGAGCCCACCTATCAAGACGGTCTAGGAGAAACTCGGGTGAGAAGGACCCGGGTGAGAAGGCGTGAGAAGCTCAGTAGGTCGCCGATATGTACCGCGTGTTCGTTGTTCTTGGCATTATCATTGCTCTTGAGTCAGTGAGTTCGGCGATCGACCCTCGAAAATACGACTACACTTTCGAGAAGCGGCTGCTAAAATTAACTCGCCAGCCGGAGCACTCCAGATATACCCAGAGTATGGATCTGATATGTGCAGCCCCATGTTCACAGCCCACAGATGGATATATATGCGGCGCGGACACAGCCCCGGCGCAGGCATTAAAAGCGGGAATACCCTGGGACGGGGTGCCAAACCAGGCCGGATCGTATCCTTTTACAGGTCATGTGAGCTTCTAGAATTCCTCTGCCGGTGTTTCCATGCAAGAAAGGGTAGATCCGTCATAGCCCTGTCCATATCTTCACTGCCTTGTCCATGTCCTCACTATCAAAAGCCGGGTGACTCTGCCTCGGCATCAGGGTTATTCTGGCCGTCAATTGCCCTCGATTGGATCCGTATGAAGTGATGTACTGCCGGTCCAGGCTTGTACTGTCCACCATCTCAAACCCTCCACCACACCTTGACCCGACGAAATGCTACCGCTTCTTCCCACAGACATTTTGCCCGCCTGGGTTCGGGGTCACTATGAAACATGGCTGTACCTGATTGGCATTGCCGTGCTGCTCAAGCCTGTTGCGTACTTGGCACTGCGGATTCTGGCCCAACAATACAGTGAGTAAAGCAGACCCCCCCTACACACGGTTAGGGTTGCAACAAAGGGCCGCATGATTAATCACCTGAACAGCGTACACAGTATATATCCGCAAGTCCGATGAGGCATACGACATGCTCCTCGGCTGGATCTTTGCCACTGGCGTGGACAAGGGTGCCCGCTCCGTCATTGCCCGCGTCGGCGTGCGCGGTCTCATCGGCGAAGAGTCGTCTGCCGATCCCGCCTCGCCCGCCAACAAGAAGCGCATCACGCTCTCGCCCTGGAACGGGGCCTTGCTGTTCTGGTTCCGCGGCCGGCCCGTGTACTACACGACGCAACTCCGGCAGGTGGGCCTGCAGCAGGAAGAGGAGGCGACGCTCGTGTCGCTCGGCCGGTCCGGCGCGCCGCTGCGGCGCTTCCTGGACGAGTGCCGGCAGCGGCACCTGCGGCAGGCGGAGCAGCGCGTCGCCATCTTTGGCAACCGCGGGAACGGC